GGGCTGGAATTATGATTGACTCCCTTTCTCTGTTTTCTAAATTATGTCATAATTCAGTATATATATATTGGGTCTCTGCCCCCAGCACCTGACACAGAGCTCCTAAACCCTTGTAATATCCTGAGTGACAGGGGTGCTAGCAGCACCTTTTGTTCTAATATTTAGTCTTCAATCCCTGTTCCTGACACAGAGCTCCTAATTTCCTGGACAATAGGAGTGCGGTTTTTGTTCTAATGAACTGACTGCCAGTGGGCTCCTAGATAGCATCAGGATAGGGGCTGGTCATAAGAAAGGTCAATGTCTGATTAGAAGCTTGGAACTTTCAGCCCCCTCCCCCATGCTCTGGGGAGGAGAGTGGGGCTAAGGATTGAGTAATAATCGCTAATGCTTATGTGATGAAGCATCCATAAAAATCCCTAAACTACGAGGTAGGAGAGCTTCCAGGTTGAAGAATGCATGCACTTGCCAGGACAGTGGTGCATCACAGCTCCATGGGGACAGAAGCTCCTGCACTCAGGACACTTCCAGACCTTGTCCTATCTCCTCTTCATCTGGCTATTCATGTATATCTTCTATAATCTCCTCTGTGATAAACCAGTAAATCTAAAGAAAGTGTTTCTGAGTTCTGTGAGCCATTAAGAGTAAATTATTGAACCTAAGGAGGAGGTTGTGGGAATCCTGGATTTGTAGCCAAACTAGACAGAGGTGTGGGCACCCAGTACTTGCAATTGACATCTGAAATGGGGGCAATTTTGTGGGACTGACACTTTAACCTGCAGGCTCTCCCCTACCCTGGGTAGTTAGTGTTCAAACTAAATTAAATTGTAGGACACCCAGTTGGTGTCTGCAGAGAACTGGAGAATTGTGTAGAAAACCCACACATTTGCTGTCAGAAGTGTTGTGCATAGAGAAATGGTTTTCCTTTGCAGATATTATTCCATGAAACTTGATACTTTAATAACAGCAAAACAGGCCGGGCACCGTGGCTTATGCCTATAATCCCAGCTCTTTGGGAGGCTGAGGCGGGCGGATCACTTGAGCTCAGGAATTTGAGACCGGCTTGGAGGAACATAGAAAAATCCAGTCTCCACAGAAAAAAAAAAAAAATTAACTGGGCATGGTGGCACGAGCTTGTGGTCCCAGCTACTAGGAGGCTAAAACAGGACAATCATTTGAGCTTGGAAGGCAGAGGTTACAGTGAGCCAAGATCATGCCACTGCACTCCAGCCTGGGTGATAGAAGTGAAACCTTGTCTCAAAAAAAAAAAATGGCAAAATGTATCATTTTTTAAAAAAAGTTATGAGCAAAACATTCCAAAGATCACGAAAAGTCAAAGAGCTGCCGGCCTGTCTGAATAATTTAGTCCCAGAGCTGTTAGATGGGGCTGGGAAGGCAGGCATTGTGCCAGGGCAGCAGCGGGGAGGTTTTTTGTCCCAGTACAGACGAAGGCACTTGTGCCGGCAGAGTGGTGCCTACACGGAGAGACTGATTTTACACACAGGTATGATGGAAGACACGCTTCTCACTAAAGGAGAAAGGATTTATAAATATGTTAAGGGAGGAACTGCATGAACCATGTGATCATGGGTTTGGTATTGGAGATTTCAGTGTGGCTCAAGGCCTTCAAGACAGACAGGCAGATGGACAGATGGATGGATAGATAGATAGATAGATAGATAGATAGATAGATAGATAGATAAAATATATACAGATTTAAATTGTGTAGATGTATATTTACATAAACACATATACAGATATGTACATATATTTGCTAACTCCACTGATGATCTTATTTCCTATAGAATATTGTTTATTCAATCAATAGATTATATTTTTTCATTAAAGGTCTCGTTATTTCCATGTTGCCCACCACCCAAACAAGCCTTAGAGTTGCTGGTTTCAAATATTAAAGCTTAAAGGAAACATCCTTCCCCTGACTCCAGTCCAAGAATCACTGACAAACTGACCAACTCTCGAAAGCAATGAGGAGAGCTAGTGCCCAGATCTTGGTTTCTATATCCCATTCTCCACCAAGAGAAACGACTGTTCTTTGGAAAAATGGCCAATACCATGGGTGGGACAGGGAAAGCACAAGATGAGCCAGGAACACCTTGTTTTAGAAAGCAAGGAAGTGCCTAAAGAATAGAGGGGGTATCGCAAAAGGATACAGAAGCCTGCTGAAGGGGTGACCCCTTGGCCAAGCAGGGAGATTTTTAGCACCAAAATAAATAATGAGGCCAGGTGCTGTCATCCCAGCACTTCGGGATACCAAGGCAGGAAGATCACTTGAGGCCAAGAGTTCAAGACCACCCTGGGCAACATAACAAGACCCTGTCTTTAAAAAAAAAAAAAAATGAGCCCGGCATGGTGGTGCACACCTGAAGTCCCAGGTACTTGGGAGGCTGAGACAGGAGGATTGCTTGGACCCAAGAGTTCGAGGTTACAGTGAGTTATGATCACACCGCTGTACCCCAGCCTGGGTGACAGAGCAAGACCCTATCTCAAAAATAAATTAACAAAAATAAATTAAAATTAATAAAATAAAACCAAAATAAATCATGAGTAAAATAGGAATCCCTGAGTCTATACTAATATAAATAAAAATATGAATAAATAAATGTAGAGAAGAAAAAGAGCTTTTTCTTTTTCTGTATAGAAGATGCCAACTGATAAATGCAGAAGTAATAGTGGACTTGGCAACTATCACAGTAATAATTAGGCCAAGAAACATCAATGATGCTAACACTAGTGGGAGGAAGTTTGATGAAGATCAAGATACTTACATAGTCTCAAAGGATCTCTCCATAAAGTGCTTTTTAATTACAAAGAGGAAAAACGTAAGTTACCTTGGAGAAGCCTGGCAGACACCATCTTAATCAAGCGATCAAAGTTAACATCACCGGTAATGGAACAAATTAAGATGGTGCAGGGCCTGACCGGATGCTGTAGGAAGAACACAGCATGGCTTCTGTGATTTTCCTGCCAGAAATGCAGAATCAGAATCTATTCATGAAGAAACATCACGCAAACCCCAGTGGAGGGACGTTCTACAAAACTCAAGTGCCAAGGTCATGGAAATCAAGACGCAGGAACTATTTCAGATTCGAGAACGCTAACCAGACATGACAGTCGCACGCAACCATGCCTGACTCTGAACTGGAACCTTTTGCTCTAAAGGACATCACCGGGACAACTGGGAAAAACAAATGGGGTCTGAGGACTTGATGGCAGTAACGTATTGAGATGAAATCCCTGGTGTTAATGGCTGTGTTGTGGTTATGTGAGAGTGAGAATGTCCTTGTTTGAGGAAATACACATTAAACTATTCAGGAGTGAGGGGTCATCAGGCCAGCAACTTACTCTCAAATGATACAGAGAAAAAAAAAAAGTTCTTTGTACTATTCTTGCAACTTTTTCATAAGTTAAAAATTATTTCAAAGGGGAAGAAAAAGTCCCAAAACTTCATTCTGGCTGCGGCCGAAAGCTCTGAGTCTTTCTTTATCTCACTAAAGGCAAAGGTTGCAGCCAGTTCAGGTGGCCAAACCTGTTCATCCTGACTGTCTCGGGGCAGCCTACCAGGCGTGGGCAGACAAACACCTCCCTGTGCAGGGGTTCAGGCCTGAGGCTGGCCAGGGAGGGCTGGATGCTGGCTGTGGGCCAAGGCTCCAGTGAGGAACCTCAGCACTAAGCAGTCCAGGAGGAGGTCGGTCGCCTGTGGCCTCTGGGGCTTGGGATAGGAAGTGAAGCAAACCCGGACTTTTCCTACCCTCCACTGGGACCAAGACCTTCCCATCAGGCCCTGAAGGCTCAGAGAAGGAGGAGACTGGGGAAGGGAGGAGGGGAGAGGAAGAGAGGAGTGCCTTTGCTCTGGTATTGTCACATTATATATATATATACACACACACACACATACACACACATATATAGTATTTGTTTTATCTAAGTCACCAGACCTGTTGTCCTTGGCCCTCTGTGCCATTTCCCCTTCACTGTTTCCCCAGCAGGGGTGGCAGGGGCCCGGCCGGTGCAGTTGCCAGTGGAACCAGGAGAGGACTGCCTTAGGAACCAGTGTTCAGTGGCCTGTCACTAAGGGTTTCTGAGGTTTGTTTTTCCCCACAGCAAAGCTGCTGCTTCACTTTTTGCATATTTTAACAAGTTTGATGTTTTCCCTGGGATAGTCCTACAGATTTCAAAAATGGAAAAGCAGTAAGCATTTGCTGATGTATATCTTCTCCATGCAACTGTGAGCTGCTAAAGGCAAGCACTGTGCAAACTCGCTTTTCTGTCCACTCTCTCCCACTGCCTAATAAGGGTCGGTCCACAGCAGGTGCTCAATGAATGCTTTGTTTCTCTGTCCAGGGGTGTGTGTGTGTGTGTGTGTGTGTGTGTTCCCACACTGCCTTTTTCTGCATATCTGGGAAGCAAAGGGATAAGTCCCATCACCACACCACTTCCCTCCATGTTTCAGCCTGCAAAGGCTCTCTCTGAGGCACCTAATTCCTAAATAAGGTCGTTAATGTGTTTGACTGTTTAAAGTGGCGTGCTTTGCTCCTGAGAGATGGATAAGCCATTGTTATCTGCCATAAGAAACAAGAGAGACAATGGCTCCTAGAGATAAGGAGCCGGGCACCGGGCATATGCCTAGTATGGCTGAAACATTGACTTTTGCACAGCGCAGAGAAGCTTGTCCCCACCCCACCCCACTCATGAGCACTGTCCATTGTACTGAACGGTCACAGTTTACAGCAACAGCGGATGATGGACCCCTGCTCAAGAGTCAGAGGTATAGGAAAGAGGGTTAAAATAGAAATTTCCACTCCTCAGATGTTCTCCAAAGCCTGGTGGAAAGCGCATCTGGGTCCTCACTGGTGACTGCTAATATCTAGATAAAGAACAGAGGCTCTCAGGAAATCAGAGATGGGCTCTGGGCTGGCAAGCTAGATTCAGGAGCTCTCATGGAGGTGATGGGGGTCCCCAGTTGATGGAGGTTCTGTCCCCAGAAGTAGCAGCAAAAGCAGCTGTGAAGGCAATGCCTTTGGGGGCTTGCTGGCCCTTTTCAGGCTGTGCTATCTGAAAAGCATCTACGCATCGTACGGCCCACGTCAACAACATTTCGGCCCACAGAGCTGGAATGCTTCATTCAGCCCCAGGGCCTTATCTTCTGAGATCCAGTTACTAGCATCATGATAAGATGGCAGCCAGACGCCTGTCTGATCCTGTCTGGGTCCGGCATCTGACCCCAGTATGACCTCCCTCCTCTCCCACCTGGGCCTGACTCATGCTTCCAGAACAGGAACTCGAGGATCTCTGCTGCCCAGCCATAGCTGACTCATGGCTGGTCCAGGGGTTGCTCTAGAAGGGGTTTAGGGCAACTGTCAGCTCTCAGGGAGGAGACACCTGTCATTTCCTGAGCACCTGCCATGTGCCAGGCACCAGGTGCAGCTCTGAACTTCTTTGATATAATTAACTTGTAGGGGATTTCTGATCTTTCCTAGAAAGCAGAAAAGTGAGGGTCAGGCAGAAGTGAATTCAAAGGCCAATCTCATAGCACTGAGCACAGCCATCCACTCACCTTCAGTGCACTCCCTGGGGCCAGCCAGCACCACCCCTGGGAACCACAGTTTCTTTTTTTAAAAAAAAAAAGAAAAAAAAAAAGATTGGGCAAGGCGTGGTGGCTTACACCTATAATCCCAACACTTTGGGAGGCTAAGGCAGGCGGATCACTTGAGATCAGGAGTTGTAGACCAGCCTGGCCAACATGGTGAAACCCCATTCCTACTAAAAAATACAAAAAATCAGCTGAGTGTTGTGGCACAATCCCATAATTCCAGCTACTTAGGAGGCTGAGGCATGAGAATCGCTTGAACCCAGGAGGCAGAGGTTGCAGTGGGCCGAGATCGTGCCACTGCACTCCAGCCTCAACGACAGAGTGAGATTCTGTCTCAAAAAAAAATGTAGAAACAGGGTCTCACTATGTTTCCAAGGCTGGTCTCCAACTCCTGAACTCAAGCAATCTTCCTGCCTCAGCTTCCTAAAGCTCTAAGATTACAGATGTGAGCTACCTCACCCAGCCTCACCGTTTCTTCATTCATTCCTCCAACCCACATTTATCAAGGGCTTTCTCCCTTCTGCTTCGTGACCAGTCGGTCCCAGAGGGCAGACTTCAGGAGGCCCACCAGCTCTCCTGAAGGAGCCAGGCTTGGCTGGGAAAGGGGGCACTTGGACCCCAAGTCCACCAAGGCAGAAACAGGTATCCCTACTCCCTGCAACCCTCTCTGAGCCAAGGGGTGGGGCTAGTGTGGCCTCCGTGGCTGCAGAGGGTCTCTGGCCTGGACTGCAGCATGGTCCTGGCAGCTCACTCCTTCACCCAGCAGGTGCTTCGGGAGGCATCCTTGCTCTCCCCTGGCATCAGCCCTACAGTGGGTGAGCAGGTGAGGTGGCAGTGGCAATGAGATCACCTCTCATTCCTGTGGTTTCAGGTGCCTGGCTGATGTCAGGCCTGAGTGAGGTGGCAGCGGGGGGCAGGAAGTCACTGTGTCTGGGGCCGGAATGGGGGCTGAGGCTTTTCCTCAAAAGCTCATAAATTACTAAATATGTCCCCTTTCAGCACAGCCACACCCTGGGCCTGGGAGGATGCATCTCCTCATATAGACACAGACTGCTTCCCTCAGGCCCTGCTCACTGCTCACACGTGCCTTTATGGCACCACAGACCTTCTGGGGACGAGGGTGGTCTCCTATCCCTCACACGTGCAGTGAATACACATGTGTGCACATAACTCACACAGGCAGATAGTCTGGGGCACACAGGTGCATGCTACAAGCAGCCTTGTGCAAGTGCCCACAGCCCCCTCCCACCTCACACATGTCCACGTGGCTTCATGCTATTCCCATGCTCACTGGTGTCCCCAGGCACAGACAAGGACACACTTGGCAGGGCACTTAAGTTTCTCCAAGTATGCAGGAAAACACATGACTTTGTGCTGTCGCACATGCTCCCAAATGTACACACTCACAAATATGCAAAGTCTGCAGGAGCCTGAATTCCATCACACACCTGCACACCCATGTGCACTCAGCACTCACACATACACCGCGGTTCCCAGGGGTGGTGCGCACTCAAGGCAGGAGGTACACATTCAAATCATGCACACCCCCAGACACACACGTGCATGCATGAACAACAGACTATGCCCAGGTGTCCACACAGCGTTCACATGCTCATGCCCACCAGTAGACATACAAGTGGGACATTCAGGACATCACGAGTGAGAGTACAGCAGGGAGGGAACTGCAGCTGGCAGGATGCTGCAATCCCCAGCCTCACCTCTGGGAGCCACTGTCGGGTCTGCAGCCAAGCCCTGGGTTTGGAAGGGCAGGAGCCTGCCTGAGGCACAATCCCACTGGCCTGAGCCAACAGGCAGCACAGCTCAGGCTGGACCCAGCCAGCCTCAAGGAGGGGAGAGGGGGCATCGTGGTGGCACTGGACTCCCTGCAGGGTATGGGATGAACTCTGCTCCTCAGTTGGGCAGGGGCTGCAAGAAGGAAGAATGGGCAGCTTGAACTCACGGAGGTGGGTCTGTGGTGGGGTAAGTGGATGGAATAGAACCGGAGGGTGGAGGAGGAGATGGGAAATGGTAGGGCAGGGGGTTAAGGAATAAATAAAGGAGACAGAGGGCAGGACTGTGGGGAGGGAGACCAAAAGGTTGAGGACAGGAGGGGAGTGAGAGAGAAAAGAAGAAGAGAAGAAAAAGTGAGGAGAGAAGAGGGGCCAGACGCGAACAGAGCAGTTCAGGGGTGTGAGGAAGGACGTAGAGGGATGGGCACGCCCTGCACCGCCAGCCACCTCCCTGTCCTGCCAGCTCCATCCCCCGTCAGGAAAGACAGGCCAAGGCTCTGCTGCACTGTGCCCCTTCCCTTCTCCAGACCCAGAATCTTAGCATCCCTGGATTTTGACATCCAAAAGGCCGGGCTCAACTTACCCCACATGGAAGGCAGTGACTCACATAGATGAGCCTGCTAGAGCAACTTTTCCAGGAGCAGAGATCCACCAGGGCAGACGGGAGCTGCTTTCCCCTCTCCTGGGGCTGGCTGGAACACCCTACTCTTACCCCAACTCACAGTGATCCCCAGAGGGGGAGGCAATGCGGTGGTGCACTCTGCTCCAGCACCTGCCACCTGCCTGACACCCACATGGGGACAGCTTCCAACGGGATGCAAGTGGCAGACAAACGTATCCCAGGAGAGCAGGTAGGGGAGGCTGAGACTGGGGAATGGGCACCCCTCATCTCCCACAGGCTCAGCGGCTCCTTCAGGACATGGAGAAAGCTGGGAACCCTGAGACAGAACTGGAAGTTCTTGTTGCCTAAATCTCTCCTGGCCTGCTGCACATGGAACCTATTTCTTCCCATTCAGGGCTCTGCAGAGGCAGAAGATGAACAGTAAAATGCAAAGATCTGGCGACCTTCAGAGCTGGGTGAGTCCTGGGGTCCTCACCCCATTATGCCTAAGCTACAACCCTGTATTCCCTGTCCTCCCAGCCCTAAGGGTTCTGGTCCCAGTACGCAGGGGTGGCTCAAAAACCCACTGAGCTGCAAGGGTCTGAGAGCACCCCATGTCACAGAGGAAGAGAGGCGGCCTTGGACCTGGGATCTTGTTTGCAGCTCTTTATCATGGACACTCTCCTAGAACTCCCCAGTCCCTCCACCTCCTCCTGAAGTACTCCAAGAGCTGGTCAACACCGAGAGCCCACCTCAGGCTGTGGCATGGCTCTTCAGGGGGCCTGGTGGGTCATGGGCTTACCTCTCCCAGTTCCTGTGTCCCATAACTCAGGGCCCAGATGGAGACACTGTGACTGTTCACTAATCAGATAAATTAGTATGTAGGAGAAAGGCCTTGCAAGCTCTATTCTTCAGATGAGAACACTGAGGCTCCGCGAGGCAGCAAGTCTTTCTGAGGGCCAGTGGAGCAGACCACCCTGGGAGGCCTAAAGGAAGTGCTGGCGGAGCTGAAGCCGCAGCTCTCCTGCCTGGTCTTCCAGGCCAGCCCTCCACCTCACCCTTCCCCCTCCCTCAGCCCTGCCCTGGGCTCCAAATCCTGACCTGATGGAGTCTTACTTGGGCAGACCCACCTCAGACTGCCTGCTGCAGACCCACACACCCCATCCCCTTCTCCCTCCACAGGAGCATGCCCCCGCCATCACTCCCCTGCTCCATGAAACCCAAAGGCAGACCCCCCGCAATCCTCCCCATTCCCATAGCATTGCAGCCCCTGCATCTGACCACATCCCTCCCTGCTTAAAACTCTTCAACAGCTCCCAGCTTCCCCTGGGACAGAAAGCTCACTCCTCATGTCAGCATTCAAGAGCCCCGCGTACTTTTCTGGCTTCATCTCCAGCCACCGTCACCCCCCACCGCCACCTCCACCCGACCTCTTAACACCCTGGTCTGCTCTCCAAACACACAACCGCTTGCATGTCCCTGGCTCACCCTGCAGGGCCAGCTATGTCTCACCCCCACAAAACTTCACATGGCCATTCTAGAGAGACCAAGTGCACCCCTCAGAGCTCCTGTAGCCCCCAGGCTTCCTCCCTTCCTGGTGCATATCCTCTGCGTGCTTGTCTATATCCCCTCTAAACTGTAACCTCTCTGCAGGCAGGGGCCCTGCCAACCTTGCCAAATGATTATCCTTTGCACCCAGCACACCCCTGAACACCTAGTAGGTGTTTAAGAAATACTGTCTAATATTAGGCTCTAATTATTTCATTGATAGTGTAGTCTGGTTCCCCGCTCCATCCGCATGAACCGAGGAGACACTCGGTCGGGGCTGGGGGAAGCTGTCAGTCAAGTTCCCCTCAGCTTTCACCTCTGTGCTCTCTCTCTGGGGGACGGGCCTGCCCCCACCATGGGTTCCCCAGCAGCGGTAGGCCCACCGCAGTGCCTGAGGCCCCAGGGACTATCCCTGGGAGAATTGGCTTAACATCTTGTCAATGCCAACCTCCCCAAGCTCCTTAATCACTTCAGACATTACATAACTGATGGGTGACCAATAGGACCTGAGACCTTCCCCATCCCCTCTCCACTTGCCTACAGGTCCCTGGGGCCTCTGCAGAACCACCCAGAAGCCCCAAAGTGTGACATCACCAGTTCAACAGTCTTTCCCACTCCCATCACTTCCTGAAACAGCCAGAGCAAGAAGATGATGCATGTGAGCCCTGCCCTTGGGAAGCCTCCAGGTTGGGAAATGAGGAATGAGCCTGACACCCAGGACCCAGAGAGACCCAGGACAGAGGCAGGCCAGGAGGCAGACACGTGCTGCTGGGTGATGACGACAGCACCAGTAATCACGACTACTCCTTATTAAGTACTTACTAAGTGCAAGACTCCAAGCTAAGCAATTAATAGACCTTTTCTTGTTTAATCCTTACCATAATTCCATAGGGTGAGTATAATCCTTAATTTATAGTTTGAAAAAGGAGGCTCAGAGAGATCTAGCAATGTGTGCAGCATCACACAGCTAGTCAGTGGTAGAGTTGGAATTTCAATCCAGATCTGCCAGCTCCAAAGCCAGTGTCCTTTCTACCCTACTTCAAGCTCTAGGTGGGGGTTTGTTAATTCCCTTACAAAAAGCCTCATGGGAGCCCCATTACCAATAACATAAGCCCCCCACAGCTGAGACTCCCCCAGGTGACCCCTGCCTGCCTTCTCACCATTGCTCCCAGCACACCACCATCACACCTTAGATTTTAACACTGCCGTTTTTGAAGTTTACCCCTCTGAGTCTTGGCTTCTGCTGTTTACTCAGGCTCAAATCCAGCCCCACTTTACAGATGACAAAACAGAGAACTAAGAATGTTAAGTAACTAGCCCAAGGTCACGCAGCTAGAAAGCAATTGAGCCTGGTTAGGGCTCAGGTCATTAGAGCATCAAGTAATCAAGCATTAATTTGTGTTACAGACAATTACAGAATGAGAATTAGCAGGACATGTCGCTAATGGTGCAGAAGAAGTTAGGGGAGAGGAATCAGGCAGGCTCCAGAGTGAAGGAGGGCCAGGCTAGGCCTTAGGAAATGGGCAGGCTCTGAATGTGTGTTCTTGAAAGGGGAGGGCAAGAGAAAAGTACAAAGATGACAGCAAAGAGAGGGAGAGAGGAAGGGAGAGGGGGTTGTCAAAATTAGGGAGAGAGTGTGGCATGGTGAACAGAGCTGTGACTGGGAGTCAGGAGACCCAGCTGTGTCCCCTCAACTTCCTGTGTGATCTTGGGCAAGGAAGGCCCTTCCCTCTCTGGGGAGTGCCTTGTCTATCAGTGAAGGATAGATGCACCTAGGTGGCCTCTGGGGTCCCACCTGGCCCTGACATCCCAGGAATTTTTGTGTTGCCATTGGACCTTGAAACACAGAATCTGACCCCAGACCCCTGACATGTGGTACAGGCTTGGACACCAAGGGCAGACAGGGCCAGCAGCTAACATGGCACCTGACAGGGAGCACCCAAGGGCTATCCCCATCCACACGCAGTCACTCACGCGCCCCTTCTCCTCCTGCATCCGTGCTACTAAGCATGTGTGAACTCGCTACAGTGGATCCAATCCTGTGGAAGCTAGAACGCAGCAGAGGCGAAAGAGTCATATACTCAAGGAAAGGCGTTTGTCCTTAAGGAAAGGCAAAGGGAATGGAGGTCCTTAGAGAAGGGGCAAAGAAAACTTCCTGAAAGTAAGGGTGGAGGTTTTCAGATTGGAATACATGGTCTGCCAAACTGGAGGACATTTGAGGAAAAAGAATGGTCCCCAATCAAGACAGCACTGCACCCAAACATAAAGTACCTTCCAGACCATCAGCAAAGGAAACAGTCCTGTCTCAGGGGCCTGTGCTCACAGCAACAGACGCTGCTGGAGAGCTCAGAACCCGTGGAGGCAGAAGACGCCTCACTAGAGACTGTGGACACACATATCTGGGCACACACAGGCATGCACACAGAGGTGCTCGCACACAAGCCTGAACAGAGACCCCACCGTGGGCCGTCCATCCTCCCACTTCCCAGTTGAGCCCGGTAAGCAGCTCTCCCTCTCCAGCAAACACACCCCTCACGTGCCGATGACATGCAGCCCTGGAAGTGAGAACGTCTCGCTGTCTCACCTCGCTCCCTCTTGCTGCAGTTCTGATGTGCTTGCTTCTTTTCTGACTCAAGAGATGCCAAACAGAAACAGGCCCACCCACTTCTGTGTCCTGACTTTCGCCTTCTGGAACATGAACTCAGCTCTTACCTTTCCTACCTATTTGACCTCCAGTACCCTGTCTTATTCACAACGGAATGCCAAATGATGGATGATGGGCACTCGGGAGCCCACGTGATCCTCCAGTGGCCAGCCTCACTGTGCCCTCCAGATTTATCCCACAGCTAGAAGCTCAGGGCAAGCACCAGCTCCTCTGCTGACTGGCTGCAAAAGCTCGGGCTGAGTTTCTGTGTTCTACAAGGTTACGGTGAAGATTACACGAGAACAGCCTGCAAAGCACTTAGCACAGAGCAGGGCACAGAGTAAGCCCTCAATGATGAACAATACACTTATTATTATTATTTGTCCCTAATTTTAACTCCCTCTCCCCTTATCCCACCATCCCACAGGTTGAGTAGGAAGTCCTTTTTGAAGTCTAATCTCAAGCCTTCATGCCACGGATTGGGCCAATGTTCCACCTTAATTGGAGTCCGGGGACTGAGGTGGAAAAGGCAGAACTGGCTGATTGGAGGAGCCACGTCCCTGCAAGGGGCCAGGAGGGAGATTACAGAGGCGCCAGGCCCAGAGCTCCAACATGCACCTGCCGCCGCTCCAGGGGAGATCGGGGTCCTGCCAATTTACCCCGCCCCATGATCTCATGGCTGTGTGTGCCAGGCACTAGCTCAGGGAGCAGGTACTGACAGCAGGGCCTGGGCAAGAAGCCCAAGACAAGAAGATGGGAAGGCTGTGGAGAGCCGACAACAGAGCTGTCCCCATGGGGCTCAGACACGAGTTTCCTCCGGCCTCCACGTGTGACCTTTAGCTAGTGACTCACAGTCTCTGTCCCTCCTTCCAGGCCCTTCCATGCTCCCCAGTAGCCTCCCTGTGCTGCCCCCTAACACCAAAAGACAATGGGTGAGGGGAGGGGAGGCTCTCCTCCTCGCCAGGGGCCATTCCCTCCCCTGCATCTCTTTCTGCTGACCCTGAACAGGACACCCTTGCTTTAAAGCACAGGAAGTTCGCTGGGCAGGAGACTGGTAGCCAAATGCTGTCATTCCTGAGGCTGCCGCAGGCATGCAACTAAATGCCAGCTGTAAAGAGCCTGTAATCCCCAAAGAGATGCCTCTCTCTCTCTCTCTGTTTCAGGGTGTCCGTAGAGATCAGACAGACCTTGAGTTAACCCCAATCCCAAGTTCTCCTGTGTCTTAACCCTCAACCTCTCCTTCCCCAGCCAATTCCTGGATATGTCTCTCCCCAAATTATCCCCTCCACTCACCCCAAAATCCACCACTGGGGGTCCAAAGACCCTCCCCTGAGCCTGGCTGGACAGACTGCAGCTTCTGGAACACAGCATGGCAGGCCTGGCTGGCAGTCCCAGGGGAAGGAGACGTCTGGTCCTGCTGGACCACCAGGGGCTCCCTTTGCCTCCTGATTATAGGAAGAGGCCTCCACATGGCCCAGAGCTCTGCCCTCAGGGTGCTCTCTCTGCTCCCAATCTCACTGTCTGCTCTCAGACTTTCAGCTCCAGCGCAGCCAGACACACGTGCCTCCTTGTCCCCACCAAGGATCTCCCCAAGTAAGTTCCACCCCTTCCAGCTTCCCGGTCCCACCCCTTCCAGCTTCCCGGCCCTGCTTCCTGGCCTACCCTTCCTACAGGGAGCCACCTGGGCTCTGCCTGTCTCTCCCTCCGCAGTCACCACCCCAGCCCTAGAGTCCAGGTGCCCCTGCTGCTCCCACCTCAGACCTTGGCCTGGGAGACACCAGCCTTCCCCACCCTCAGGGAATTCCTCAAAAATCAAAAACCTCATAACATGGGTCCATCCACCATATACACACACACACACACACACACACATACACACAAACACACACATATACATGCTCTGTCCTCCCCTCCTAACCCCTGGCCCCCACCTCCTTCTCTGTAAGGAAACTGGGGAGACTGAAATCCCTTCCAGCCCAAGACCTCTATGAATCTGAGGTTTCTCTCCACAGCCTCAGGTCGGGGCTCCCGCCCCGGATGCAGCCAAGTCTGGAGGCAGGCTCACCACAGGGCACACACCCTCCTGACTGGCCTCTGGATCCTGAGGAGGGGGACAGCTGGCCTTGGTAGCATTCCCCACTCCACTTTCCAGAATCTCCCTCAGCCCCACCTTGGTAGAAGTCACACTCCCCTCTTTTCTCTCCCCAGCATCTCACAGAGAAGACACTTGGATGGGCCACAGGCCAAAACTGGGCCAAAACCCTGGAGAGGAGGACCTGGCTCAAGGCCATATCATATTTCCATGTCATTTTCCAGTGGCACCAACTGAGCTGGACAGGCATGTGGCTGGACAATCCCCACCCAGGAGGCAGGGCAAATTCCCAGAGTACCAGGTCACTGAGCCATCTCTGGGGTAGGGCTCCCAAGGACTGGCTGGTTCTGGAATGATGCCGCTGGGATGCCAGATGCCAGCTGCTCCCCCTGCCTGCCCCAGCCTCAAAGAAAGCCTTGTCCCTCCCAGACCATCACACATTCCCTGCTCTTGGAAGCCTTACCTGGTCAACCCCACCCAACTTTTACCACTTACTACACCACTTACTTCACGTACCCTCAGCACTTCAATCCCAAGTTACCCTGTGCTCATTTGCCCTTGTTTACCTGTTACTTTGCAGATATTCTCACAGAGCTACACATGCCATGATCATCACTAGTTGCGAGAGTCTCCAGTGTTCATTAAGCCTATTTTGCTGGAGGATTAGTCCCTGCCCTTAAAGAGTGCCAAAGAAGACTTTGGGATCTAAGTCACATCTCCCCTGCTGCAATTTTTTTCCTTTTGATAATCAAGCAATCTCACTGATAAAATTCTCAACAAGGGGCAGCTCTCCCTATGAGCAAGTTCTTGCCTTGACTGCCAGGGAGGCCCCAGCTAAGGTTATACTGGGAAAGGAATCTCTGCGAGTACCTGTAAGAGGTCAGCTTCTCCTCAAAGGAAACCTCTCCAGCTGGTGTACTGCAAACCCTTCCAAGACCAAGTTCCCTTCTCCTGGCCTCTAGAACCTGCCTGTGTGCCAGTGCTGTGTCCCCAGTAACACACACGAGTCTCTCCCTCAGAAGCCACAGAAAGATGCAGAGAGAGACCAACCTGGGATTGATTCTCCGCCCTAGCACTTACTAATTGTGTGGACATAACTGGTCTGGACCTCAGCTTTGCTATCTATAAAATGAGAACCATTTTATAGATATGAACACTTGAGGAGAGTCATAAAGATTGAAGTTGATCTGTGCTGTGCCTGGCACAGAGGCCTCCCTCAGTAAATGGCAGCCATTGCTATTGGGATGCCCCTACACCCCTTGCCCCTGCCCACCACTGGCCTTCACTTAGGCCCACACTGAGGATGTGGCTGTTGTGTTGGGGGAAGGAAAGAAAGACCATACCTGGGTTGCAGGGCCCCCACCCCCAACTGGTCTGCTTTTGTGGGAAGGCTTTTTTGATGCCTTCACCCTACCCCTGGGCTGATTGACTAAGTGTCCAGCATCATGAGGAAAGAAGCAGGGTTCAGGGCCACTTGCTTCAGCCCTGAAACTCTTCCAGGCCTAGGTCCAGATGAGAGGCATGCCTGGGAGGCCTTCTCTTGTACCCTTGCCTGTCCTGCAGCACCCTCCAGCCTGCAGGCCACTCCTGGGTGGCATAGCACCTTGGATGTCAAGTGTGGGCCTTCCCAGGCACATGGCAGGAGGGGGCACTTGTGTGGGTTGTTGGTGGCAGGAAGGGATGTGTCTCCAGCTGGATCTGGGTTCTTTCATTTTGGGGCCTAGCCATGCCAGGACAGTGCACATGGGCACTTAGTGTGAATCTCATGATGGAGCAGAGGAGGAGCAAGGCAAAACCAGGGAGTCCCCAGGCCCCTGCTTCTGCCCTGCCCAGAGACAGTGGAGCAGGTGTCTCCAGCTTCTTAATCTCAATGCACAGTAAGAAATATATTTAACAGCAACCAACAGACACATACATTTACAAAACGATACTCTGCATTGCACTGGGATGGTTTTCTATCCTCACGACCCTCTAGTGAGTTGCAGATGAGTCTGAGAAATCCCGCTATAAGTAACGTAAGCAAGCCACAGTCCCTGGCTGGCAAGTGAGGAAATGCCCCACCGGGACAGGGACACTGAGGTAGCAATGAAAACAGCCGGTGCAACCACTCCTTCCTGTTCCCCCTGCTCAGCCCCTCATGGGTGAGGAGAGAAGCGGCCAAGCCGAGGACTCCATGAGAAAGATGCCGGAGCTGCCCCACTCTGCAGCAGGTGCTTCCCCTGGATTCTCACTAATCCTCACGACAGCCATGAGCACCAGCAGTTACCTGTTCCATTTTGGAGAGGGGGCAATGCAGGCTCAGAGTCTTTAAAAAGATGTACTGTGTGCTTGCTGTGTGCCGGCAATGTTCTGAATGGTTTATATAATGCACAGCGCTTATCTAGTCCCCAGAGCAGCCCTAGGCAGCCGGTGCCGCTGCATCGGCACTTGGCAGAGCAGGACACCACAGCTTCCCCAGCCCCCGGCTCAAGGTCTCACGGCCAATTGCAGACCTGCATCACTCAACCCAGAACACCTTTAAGAAGTCCCTCCTGCCCCAGGCAGAGGCCTAGGCTTCCCTGCAGATCCAGGTGAACTTCAGCTAGGAGGCCTGCCTGTAAGTGGGGAACATCAATGGGAGGGAGCAGATTGAAAGCTAGAAGAGAATATGAATGAACAGCTGTGGCTGTGGGCTCACAGAAAGGGGGCAGCCCCCCCTGCCCAACTCTCCTCCTGAATCCAGAGGCTATTTTAGTTTAATGTTGATCATAAAAGAAATATTGATAGTGTGGCTGAATCAGGCTCCGTGGTGGCCTCCATGCAGGTAGCCTGCTCTGGACCCTGTGGTTCCCTGGCTGCTCCAGATGCCCTCACTCCCCAAGGTCAGCTGCAGACCAGAGCCTCCTGGGCACAGAGAGCCCTGCTCAGAAGGGACATTTCCATTCGCAGAGGTGAGAGGTCCTGCGGGTTTCATGGTGGAAATGCAAAACCCTGTCTTTGGGACCTGATGTGGATCTGGCTGCCAGCGTTCAGGGTCACCTGTGGGGAGGGGCAGCAGCCACCCAGCTTTGCCAGAGACAGAGGGCAGGGCAAGACCTCGGGCTTCCCGCCCAGAATGCCATCAGCCAGCTGAAATTCCAGCCCACGCCGGCACCCCAGGGCTGTTGGGGAGGGGCGGGATTTATGACTTCCCCACCCCCCGCAACACCCCAATGGGAAATGTGTTGAGTTGGTCAACATCTCTCCGGTCACAGGGCCAGTGCTCCTGAGGCTCCTCAATGATGGGGCAGGAGCCAGGTCATTAGGCAGGGGAGACTGTCATTAGTGCGGGTGATGCCACCACCGCTCAGACAATGGCAAACAGTCATTAGCGGCTGTGTCACAGGGGTGAGGCAATGCTGGCTGGCTGGGGGTGGTGCTTCCCCAGCCACACACTCACACACACACACATGTTCACACACAAGGAGGAAGCAGACATGCTGAAGCACTCACTCCCACAAGGACATCTAGAGACACACACATCCACACGTGGGGGCATGAGTGTGTCCACACGCATTCACATGCAGGGTGTGAGGAGGCATGCGCTCCCACGTGTTCACACAGTCACATACAGGAGCATGAGCAGACAGCCACATTTACACACTCACATGTTCACACAGAGGAATGAGTGAGCACAGGGCACAGAGACACAGGTTCAAACACTTACAGTACAACAAATTCACACAGGCACACAGGCACACTCGCATGCTCACATTTCCACACTCACACGCAGGGGCTGAGGGACACATGGCCCAGAGAGGGCCACAGTGTCTGGGACACCCCCACCCACACACACCCCAGGGGCAGGGCCCTCGGATCCTCCCCACGCCAGGCACCCAGACACCCCCTACCCTGAGATAGACACACAGAGCCTCGGGGGCCCCCGAGGAGAGACCCAAAGACACCCTCTCATCCCACCCACTCCCTGCTTCAAATGATGCAGCAGCCAGGAAGGAAAAACCCAGTGAAGTGAGGAGGCAGCCAGGCTGCATGGACCTCGGCAGAGGCCGTGTCGGCTGTGCCGCCGCAGGGCTCTCTCCACACTCCCAGCCCTGACGGCCAGCACAAACCTGCTCCCAACATGAACCCCCAAGAAATGGGCTGCTGTAGGCGTGTTCTCTGCCCGCTTCCCTGTGGGAGAGGGACAGGAAGTGGGAGGCTGGAGTTGGAGGAGGAGGGGGAGAAGAGCAACTGAAACTCAGCTCCTGGCCCTGGGTTGAATTCTCTCCCGTCCTCACCAGGCTTTCCCCCGCCAAGCTGTGGAGCTGCCCTTCAGAAAACACAGGCAGGCAGTGGGAAGAGAGGCAGAGAAAGTGGCGGGCACAGCCACGCCAGGCCAAGAGAGTAGCCTGGAACCCAGCCCTCCGCTCTGGGTTCAACGTCTAGCTCCACCACTTACCAGCTGGTAGCATTAGCTTCCTGCGGCTGCTGTAACAGATTTCCATGAATTTAGGGGCTCCACGCAACACAACTGTATTTCTTTATTTAAATAAATCTTACTGGCCGGGCATGGTAGCTCATGCCTCTAATCCTAGCACTTTGGGAGGCTGAGGTGGGAGGATCACTTGAGGTCAGGAGTTCAAGACCAGCCTGGGCAACATGGTGAAACTCCATCTCTACTAAAAATACAAAACTTAGCCAGGTGTGGTGGCACGTCCCCATAGTCCCAGCTACTCAGGAGGCTGAGGCATGAGAATCACTTGAACCCAGAAGGCAGAGGCTACAGTGAGCCGAGATCTCACCACTGCACTCCAGCCTGGGCGACAGAGCGAGACCCTGTCTCTAAATAAATGAATAAATAGATAGATAAATCTTACTTACTACTGCAGCTCTGGAGGCCAGAAGTTCAAAACAGTCTCACTGGCTGAAATCAAGGTGCAGCGGGGCTGCATTCCCCCTGGAGACTCCACAGGGGAACCCATTTTCCTGCCCTTTCCAGCTTCTCATGGCTGCCCACGTTCCTGGGCTCCCTTCCATCTCCCTCACACCGCCTCAGTCTCCTGCCTCCCTCGTCCAGTTTAAAGGACCCTCATGATGACACTGGGCCCACACAGATAATCAGGATAGTCTCTCCACCACGGGATCCTTAATCCCATCTGCAAAGTCCCTTCTGCCATGTAAGGGAACATGTTCACGGGTTCCGGGGATTAGGATGTGGACATCTTTGGGAGGCTGTTATTTTGCCCACACTGGGACAAGTCATTTAAGCTCTCAGAGTCTCAGCATCTTCAACTGTAAACTGAAAATAACTCCTCCACATGGGTGGCCATGGGATTTGGAAAGCCACGTGAGTCCTCAAAGCACTGCGCCTCTCACCCGGGCCACCTCAATCAGCTGCACTGCCCTCTCCAGCTTGGGCTTCCTGAGGATGGCTTTGAAGCAGTGTGCGCCAGGAGAGGGTGAGGAGGGACCCTGAGGCCAGTGAGGGGGTCCGTGTGGACTTGGGCAGGGGCCGACACTCGGGGTAAGGACTGGGAGGAACACACGGGGGTTCCCTGGATCCGGGCGGCAATGAGCCTGTGGTGGGGGAGCCACCCTGAGCTGAGGACACACAGCTGCAGGGACCCAGCACTCAGTCTCCTGAAATGGGCTGCTGTAGGCATGTTTCTCTGCCCGCCTCCCTGTGG